AGAGGACTTTTGAGATACCAGATGAACGTAAAAGCTACATACTTAGTTTGGCCGGCAAAAGATATAGAGGGTGGAAAAGTTTTTTGACAAACACCTATCTTAAGGATAAAGATGGAAAATTTCTTGAAGAGGCACCGGGACGGCCAACAAAGTATGCGACCTTCATTGATGAAGCAGATTGGGCTGAGTTTTTAAAGCAAAGAGATGAAGCTTTTCAGAAAAAGAGTGCCACGAATAGTAAGAGAGCATCCAAACCCGCGTATCCATACAAGAAAGGGTGTTTGGGATATGCACGCTTAGAGGATAAAATTGTAAGTAAATAGAAATGCGTTTTAATTAATTGTCTACATGTGCATGTTTTAATTGACGATTTTATCGTTTGTGTCAATGCATAGTTAGAGGAGACTAAAAGTGAGGAAGCTTCACTTCCTGTACATGTGTTGTGGAAGGAAGCTCGTGTGGGCAAGAATCAAGCTGTCGATCCCGATGTTCAGAGAGTTTATACTGAATGTGTAAGTATAATACTGTGTCTTTAATTAAATCAAATGTTTTTTAATATATAAATGATTTTTTATCTCCATTAATAATTATTTAAATGTAAATGAATTACAGGAGACCTTGTCGCAATCGGCATCCACCGGTGAGGAGAGCGTACTTAGTAGAGTACTAGATGCTCCCGAGTATCCCGGTCGGGTGAGGGGTAAGGGTCATGGTGTGACTCCAACCTCTTTTTATAAGAGTTCTAGGAGAAGATCAAATCTTACCAATGAAGAAGTGTTGCAAAAGTTGCAGGAATTGCAAGCACAGGTCTCTGAATTGCAAAGAGATAAAGATATGTATATGAGAGAAAAATGCAACACTTCATCGGTGAGAGAAACTAGTGATAAGGCTAGTATCAACTATCAAAAGAAATTTCCCGAGGTAATTATAAGTTTTTTTCCTTACAAACTGTTCTATTTTATTAATGATAATGACTTTATATTTTCTATTTGTTTAGGGCATTTCATCTTGCCAACTATACTTATCGTCACCGAATTATCGACTAGTTGGCAAGGGAAAAGTGCACAACACTTCGGAAGATTTACTTCACCACAGACCCCTCCCTGATGGACACCTGAAAGTATCGGTGGATGTTGTATTAGATCGTGATGCGATTCTACCGGTACCTGACATGGTCTCAGAGACGACATTGCTGCGAGATGCAATAGGATCATTTGTTGCATGGCCCTCGGAGCTCATTACCATTAGTGATGAGGTATACTGAAAACGATTATGAATCATTTAGTTTTCGAATGTCAATTCTAAACCGTTTATTAATTATTTTTTACATTTTAATTTTAGACTGCTCCTATAAAACCCGCAATTAAGGGTAAAGGGATTTTACAGGAGGAGGAGTCTGTTGCATCACTAAAAGAGGTACATTTAAAGTGTTAATATATAGTCTGAATCTAAATCTGCATGATTTTATATTATACCTAACTTATATGATTTTTAGGCATCCGCTCGGGAGTCACAACAAGTGACGCAGCAGGTTCGTAGCTTACCACCCACTGGTCCTCCGAAGCAAGCGGCAAAAAAAGGCGGTGCTTTTGTGCCTCGATACCGTTCGACACTCGCAACAATGGTTGATATGTCCGATTTGAAGGATGGTGGTTTACGTGAAATCAACATGGATGAAAGTGTCTTCGGTATTGAATTCCAGTCACATATTACATTTGATGACTTGGAAGAGATTTTTAGGCATGATCAACTAGGCGTCGGTAATATGCACTCATACATCCGGTAATATTCACTCATCCGATATATTATTTAATTAGTCCCACAATATAATTTATTTACACATTTCAATGAAAATAATCTAATGTTTATTATGTTTTTATTTAAGGTTGTTGTATGACAGAGTGTTGCGCGGGACTGCATTGTCTAACAGATTCCGTTTCGTGTCTTCCGCCCATTGCAGCGGAATGACAATTGCTTCGGAACCGGAATCAGTTAGACAGCGCTTAGTAGATAGATTCATGTCCACCGGCAATACAGAAAGTCTGCATCTTTGGGCGTATAATACCCGACCAGTAGGGTTAGTTTCTCATTCTTGGTTCATCTAATCTCTGTTTCTTTTGTGTATAGCAAAATTTTCATATAACCTATTGTTTTAATTTATAGAGCACACTGGTTGCTGCTTGCTATCAACCCGATAAGAGAAGTCGTGTATTATCTGAATTCGGTAAATGGTGAATGGACCAATTATCCGGCTATGAAGGAAATCGTTGATTTGTAAGTGGGATCGTTCTAAATATATATTCGTGTATATTTATATATTTTCTTATTTGTGGGATTGATTTAAACATATGCTTTTATATATTTAATAATTAGATCAATACAAGTGTTCCGTAGTCAACGGGACGCACAGGTATCCCGAACTAAATCAAACAACATCACTTGGATCCAAGTGCAGGTACATTACTTTTCACAATTTTGCTTATAATATTTATGCTACTTGGTAAAACAAGACAACTATAGAATCTTATTTGTTTTATTATGTAGTGTCCGCAACAGCGAAACAGTCATGATTGCGGATACTTTGTTTTGAGGTTCATGAAAGAAATCCTTCAGGCGAATCAATTAGAGATTCCGCTCACGGTATGAATTTATAACTTAAGATAATTTCATATAATTTATTACATTTAACTAAATATATCATTTATATTATGTTTTTGTTTTGTAGTACCTTGACGAATTCCGTGCTGCTGCGTACCCGAAGCTTAAGTTGGAAGAAATTAAAGAAGATTTGTGTCAAAATTATATTAAGCAATTTTTCATGTAGGATTTGTGTCGATTTGAACTATAATATTATTGATGTAATGATGTATATATATAATTTTGGATATTATAATGGTATTATATTAGTATATATATTGTCTTACTGATGGCTGAAATAATAGCGTCGAAAATATATTACAGGTCAAAAATATATTACAGGTCGAAAATATTACAGGTCGAAAACATTACAGGTCGACTGGGAGGATTAAATTATAGGCTGCACATAAAAATACCTCATTTAGAAACGACAGCGCTTTTAAAAAGCGCTCTTAAAGGTCCACCTACTAAAGCGCTTCTTAGTAAAAGCGCTGCCAAAGACCAGTAAAAAAGCATAAAAAATTAAAAAAAAACGCAGCATACAAAAGCGCTTTTGGAAAAGCGCTCTTATAGGGGGGCCTATCAGAGCGCTTTTTCCAGAAAAAGCGCTCTTATAGGGGGGCCTACCAGAGCGCTTTTACAAAAGCGCTTTTGTAGGCTGCGTTTTTTTTTAATTTTTTATGCTTTTTTACTGGTCTTTGGCAGCGCTTTTAAAAAGCGCTCTTAAAGGGGTGGTCTACCAGAGCGCTTTTTCCAGGAAAGCGCTCTTATAGGGGGTCCTACCAGAGCGCTTTTTCCAGGAAGCGCTCTTAAAGGGGGGGTCTACCAGAGCGCTTTTAGAAGCGCTTTTGTTACCTACGCCAGCGCAAGCTATTAAAGCGCTTTTAAGCGCTTTTAAAGGCCAAAATAAGCGCTTTAGTAGCCCTTTTCCGTAGTAGTGAAAGAAGATTTACCTGAAATTCCGGCAGCGGAGCCTTTAGAATCATTGACAACGGCGAATAAAGATAGTTAGATAAGAAGGTCAAGATTTCAGAGAGAAGCAATTGATACTCGAATCTTTAATTGAAACGGTAACCCTCATTTTGATTTTGAGAGAGGAACAGATGATGCTTTGATGAAGGCGAGACCACCATCTTCCGCCTTTCTTCTTCAGATGGTCGTTGTTGAAGCAGACAAATGATTGTATGAGCAGTGTTTGATAGCGGTGTCAGTAGGAAAATAAACAAATAGAAATCTCAATTTTAGGGTTTGACATGTTACGTTGGGCAAAAGTGTGAATTGTGTGTCAATAAAATAAATTTAAAAAATAGGAAAAATTATGAGTGTGACACCTAAGTCTCATTAATTGTCAAATCAATGAGAGTGAAGCAAGGGTAGAATAAGACATATATGACCTTGAAATCAGAAGAAAAAAAATAGACATTTTATCAGAAGGGTGTATTTGTAATATAGTATTTTAAAGTTTATATATTTATATTAGATAATTGAAAGAAACTGAAAAATTATTTAAATTAAATTAAAAAAATTAAGAGTGATACTTATGTTTAATTATGAGTAATTTTTATGGAAAAAGATAATAATAAAGTTATTAAAACATATGATTCTAGAATAGAATAGAAGTTGAAGTGAAGAGGCACAATTGTATAAACTTGTTGTTATATTCAATTTTAAAATTGACACGTAAAATTTTAATTGATGTGATCATTTTCTTTTTGTACTGATTTCTAACTTACATAATAGATTAATTAATCAAATTCATATTACGGAGATACGTGCACTGATCAAGCGTTAGTAAAAATCAAATTCGGTATTTTTCAGATGTTGAATATAAATATGAATATAAGAAACTACCATTAAACTCTAAAGCAACTGTTTTATAAAGGTAGAATTTAACTATTGAAAACTGAGAACAATCAACATAAAGTAAAACATAGACAGAAACATAATCCCCACAACTACATAAGTCTAATCTTATATAATGTTATTTTGGGATGCACCACATAAAGTTACTCCTGAAATAAAAAAATAAAAAAACTCTTTATTTCTTTATTTTGGGTAAAGAAAAACTTATTTCTAATGGCATTAATTCCAGCTTCATGCTCCAATATTATTTCATCATATTATTTCACCTGCATAAAGAGGTAAAGAATTATTATGATTCACACACAATAACAGTAATATATATATATATATATATATATATATATATATATATATATATATATATATATATATATATATATATATATATATATATATGGTGATTTAAATTTAAATCTGAATTTTTTCATAAAATGTCTTTAAATATCAATTTCAAAGCAAAATAAAACAAATATAAGAGAGAGGAGAAATAGATAGAAAAATCACACACAAGAATCAAAGTTTGAAGTACACTTTTCCGGTAGTTGCGAAGCCATGTTACGATCAACGCCACTTATCGGAGGTCCATTAACAAGAACACACAAACATGGTTGACCTAAAGCTTTAAGGGCATTGCAGCATGCATCATTTGGTGGAATTGGACTATAAGGAGCAACTGATGCCCTACAAGGAATGAGTTGCACTAGGGCTGAGAAAAATGTGCTTGAACAAGATGTGCTTTGAACTTGAGTCACCAATGTTGTCATGATTAAGAAAAAACACAGTAAAGACATAGTCTTATAGCTAATGAAAATCTTCATCTTAATTTGTTTTACTATAATATATATGTTTGGAGAGTTACTAGGATTTTGTGTTTATATATAAGAATATATGATCATGTTATGAGGCATGTTTAATATGTTCTAACCAGAAGGATCATTCTCATCAATGCAACTGGTGTTGTATCAATACAGTTAAAAGATTCAAAGTTCATGATTTTTTCTAAAATTTGTGAAGTATTTTTTTAATATCTTACATAATTATCAACTAAACTGATTAAATTGATTTAATAGAACACAATTTTATTTTTTGTTAGATTCACGATTAAGGAGATTAAGGAGAACTAGATTTTTGCCGCTCAAATTAATTTCGGTATTGATTCTATCTAATTGTTTCATTTGCTTTTAAGAGAAGAGGAGTTCTATAGATATTCCTTTTTTTAAACATTTTTTTAATATTAATTTATTTTTGATCCATTTTTAAAATATAAATTTCATAGATGAATGTTAAAAAATGTTTCCAAGAACACTTCATTTAACAGTCCAATTTTATTTTATTTATCTCTTTTTTATTTAATATAAATTTATGTGACAAATAGACACCGTCGGTAGATAAGTGAGACTCACTTTAAAAAATGGACCTCATTAATTTATCACTAGTATATTTTTATTTTTTTTAGCAATAATCAAATATTGAAAAAAAACACAAATAATTATATTTTGGGAAAAATTACAGAAATAATCATGTTTCAGAAAATCCTGCAATAGAGGAGTCAACTAAGTTGACGCATACACATAAAATTAAGGAGGATGCGTCAAATAAAATGGTGCCTAGGTGCAACATGTTTGCTTTAAGCCATCTCAGATGGCGCCTAGGTACAATTGATGTGCAATTTTTTTTTGTTTTCTATTTTAAATGTGAGACAATAGATAAATGATATAACTTCACGAAACTTCGACTTTTCATTAACAAAAAACAATTACACAATGAAAAACAAAACATACAAATTAATTAGTGGTCCCCGAGAACTCGGTAACGATCTGTGGTTCCGCATCCGCGTCCTCGCCTATCTCGTGGTAGGTTTCGTCCATTTTCCTACTGTGGTTGGATCGATGGCTCGGCGAAGTCAATGCGTTCAGGATCTATGAAATCGATCAGATCACCATATCTGGAAGATCCGCTTTGGTACAGTCGGTTACTCATGCCCTCAAAGTTTGGTCGTCTTGGTGGGGGATGGGGTTCTATGGATGATCTATAACACTGGTCGTCTAAGTAAGGGGGGTGAAAAGGAAATGAATCTTGGGGTGTTTGGTATTGCGACTGTTGGGTGTTATGGTGATGTGGTGGTTGATGGTAAGTTGGGTCGGTTGGATCATATTCTTCAGAAAATCCCAGATCAAGGCTAAGGTGAGATGATGAGGGGCCCACATTAGAATATGGAGAAGACTGGAATTGTGTGTGGGGCATGTGGGTGTATTGGTATTGCGATTGAGATTGGGATTGGGTGTGGGGCATATAGGGGTATTGGTATTGAGGTGGTGATTATGGTTGGGTGTGGGGCATATGGGTGTATTCTTATTGAGGTGGTGATTGTGGTTGGATGGTTGTGGATCTGTATCATCGGGGTGGTTGGTGAAAGGTTGATGTGTGTTAGGTTTGTTGTTGGGGATTTGAGGTTTGTGGCCATTGTGTTCGTGGGTCAACCAAATATCTCGGATGAGACACATGCATTTCTGGGTTACTAACCGATCTGTACCAAGCAAAATATTAATCTGTGTATCGCATATTATTCTGCTTGAGGAAAACAGGGAATTGTAAGGCATGTTGGTGACACCTATGCCACATCTTACACCATTCTGGAGCAATTTTTTCCAATTAGTAAGACCCCATTGGGCATCGACCCTTTTGAGATGCCAGAGAGACAAACAAGTTGGATCACATGATATCTCTTGATACATTCCGAACTGCATCTTGACACGGTCACTGTGGTGTATCTCCATAACGTTGAACCATATAATTATAGTCTTTGCAGTCTAAACTGCTGCATCCTCGGGGTTTGGTTCATGGTTCAAACCCAAATATGGTCTCTAGATAAACTATGGATAAAATTAAATCAGCATAATGAAAACGTAAAAAATAAATAATTTAAAAGTAGAAAAGTTAAAAGGTACCACGTACATCATTCAGGCCAAGGTGATCCAATAGATTATGATATAGAGCGACATTGAATCTTGGATTCTTGTCGTAATCCATACCCGTCATGCAGTACCTAAAGAAATTGTAAAATAGTTTATTTTAAACATATATTTGGCAAAAGGATGAATAATAAATGATTTAAGTTCTTGACTTACTTTGTTGCGTATGGGAAAATGAATGTGTTGTTGTTGATGGGGTTTAGGGACTCCATTCTCCACCAACCTCAGGCTTGAAGTAAGAAAGCGCATCCATAAAAAGTACATTTTTCCTTTGTTGCATTTTTACACAAAGAACTGTATAGATTGGCTAAAACAGCAGAACCCCAACTATACTTTCTTGTTTTTTCAAAATTCCTAAGCAAACTTAAATACATAAAATTTACACTATTCCTTGTACTTCCGGGAAATAACAAGCTTCTAAATAATATCATCATATAATTTCTAGCTTTTATTACTCTTACTAGCTCGGACGAATTTTCATTCAACTCAAGAGTCGCATAATGTTTTTTGAGTTCAGTTAGTAATATACCTTGGCCTCTAGCACCACTACCTTCTACCATATCTTTGCCCAACAATTCCTCGCATAGAGAATTGGGTTGTTGAACCGACCCATTAACCGCCTTACCATCAATAGGGAAACCCAATAACATGTACACGTTCTCTAGTGTGATGGTACATTCACCTATGGGTAGATGAAATGTGTGTGTCTCGGGTCTCCACCTTTCCAACCTTGCAAGTATAAACTTGGAATCAATCGCGCAGTTTGAGATTTTTATAACATTTCTAAGACCCGCATATTCGAGATAGGGCACGATCAAGGGTCGGGAGCAATGTAGTTATGTGAGTGAATTCTAAATCTTTTAGTATCCTAAATTCAAAATGTAAACAGTGTAAGAGTCCATAAGATGACTAAATCAATAATAATTTTATAAAAAATATATTAGTATAGAAGAATATTTGGGAGTTTATAAAAACTTACAAACGCCGCAATATTGTCCCTTATGCCTCTGTGAGAAACACCTATTGTGAGAAGAGCCATAGTTGAAATTGTATAAGACAATAATAGAGTTTGTATCAGAGATTCAGATGATTGTTGATGCAAAACAAGTATATCAGGTGTCGTATTTATAGGTGAAATTGTATCAGAGAGTAAATAAATGAGGTGGTTTGTGGTTCCATGGATGCATGATATGTGTCACTCATGCGCTAAGTTAAATGGCGCCTACATGCTATTTAGAGAGCATGCGCCATTCAACTTTGCGTGGGACATGCCTAGTTGTAGCATAGGTGGCAGACTAGGTGCAGGCTAGGGGAAGACTATTTTGCATGCATGTAAGATGATTGGACATGTAGGGAGGCGCCATTTGACTTGGAGAATGAGTACAAAATTGAAAGGTGTCGCCATCTCAACTGGAGAATTAGTGGTGGCAGGCTAGGTGCAGGTTAGAGGAAGGCTTGTCTGCATGTATACAAGATGATTGGACATGTAAGGAGGCACCATTTAACTTGGAGAATGAGTACAAAATTGAAAGGTGTCGCCATCTCAACTGGTGAATTAGTGGTGGCATAGGTGGCAACGTAGGTGGCAGGCTAGGTGTAGGCTAGGGGGAGGCTTGTCTGCATGCATGTAAGATGATTGGACATGTAGGGAGGCACCATTTGACTTGGAGAATGAGTACAAAATTGAAAGGTTTCGCCATCTCAACTAGCGAATTAGTGGTGGCATAGGTGGTAGCATAGGTGGCAGGCTAGGGGAAGGCTTGTCTACATGCGTGTAAGATGATTGGACGTGTAGGGAGGCGCCATTTCACTTGGAGAATGAGTACAAAGTTAAAAGGTATCTCCATCTCAACTGGAGAATTAATGGTGGCATAAGTGGCAACGTAGGTGGCGGGCTAGGGGAAGGCTTTTCTGCAAGCATGTAAGATGATTGGACATGTAGGGAGACATCATTTGACTCGTAGAATGAGTACAAAATTGAAAGGTTTCGCCATCTCAATTGGCGAATTAGTGGTGGTATAGGTGGCAGGCTAGGTGAAGGCTAGGGGAAGGCTTGTCTGCATGCATGTAAGATGATTGGACATGTAGGGAGGCGCCATTTGACTTGGAGAATGAGTACATATTGAAAGGTGTCTCCATCTTAACTAGCGAATTAGTGGTTTCTTATTATTGTATTGTTCAAATTCAATGCAACCTATTTAATCCTACATGTATCTAAAGGCCTCTACACTCAATCACTCAAACACTCAAACATTCAAACATTTAAACAATCATACAGTCAAACACTCAAACACTCAAACCTTCAAACATTCAAACACAATGGCCTCTACACCATAATACTTTATCAGTGCATATTTCAACGGTGGTACGTACATTTGTCCCACCTCTGGGTTTTTGTTTAGAGACACTGAGAACATTCAATTTTGTTTAAATAGGAAAGCTAATTTCTTATATTTCAAAAAATGATTGGAGGTCAAACTTGGACGAGGTCCCGTGACACAAATCTTCTATCAAAATTCGGTTTTTTTGGTGATAACCAAATAATATATTATTAGGTAGCGTTTCAAGATGATGAGGAACTTCAGAATATATTTTCCATTCATGAGTATTCTGGGTATGACTCGATTGAGTTGTACATTGTGCTACAGGAGCCTTAGTTGTCACGACCAACTCAGTCACAAGTGGTTGATCCTCTCGAAGACGAACAAGCAGAAGTAGATGTTGTTGATGAAGAAGAGGAAGATGACGAGTTAGAGTTTCACGACATGGTCAACAATGATTCTGAAGACGAT